AATCAAAGGTGACGTTATTTTCATGAAAATTCGTTGATGAATTTCCCCCCAAAAAAATCAATAATCGATTGGCAAGCTCCAACTCACAGCAATAGTACACTTGCAGTGTCTGACAAATCATCAAGTTCCAACAAATTTCCACAAACTAGACACGTTATGCCAAGTGGAGCAAACCTTAACACGTTTTTTACAAAGTCGATATATCGATTTTATTGATTGATCCACTCACCACATAAGCGTCTCCACCCAACGCATAATGACAGCATCAAGAATCACAAAGAAATCGACAACAATTCGGGCACGTTCACCAAGTTGTGAGATCACTATGCCAAAACCCGTACAGAATACAATTATGCCTTAAAAAGACTATAATTATTCCATATTTCAATGAAGATGAGTTATGCGCAGCGAAGCAAAGGAAAGAAGTATGCACTAAACGTTATTTGCTTAGAATAAAAATAAATACAGTTCAATATGGCCAAGTCAATATGTGGAAAAAAAAGTTTTTCGAAAATCCATAGCAGTAGTCAACAAAAAGAATTGCATTTGGCACAAACTCTCGACTTCAATGATCTTCTTCGAGATTTTTCTTCCAAAATCATACTATTAGCATTAGCGTACATGGTCTGTCCCATTAAGCGACTACACAGCTTTCTTCACTCCAATCACTTACTCAAATTGAATGCCGTCACCCTTCTAGCACAACTTAAAATGTGGCCTTGAAACGGAAAAAATTCGAAATAACAATCCAAACCAAAAGTATTGCAAAACAATTAAAATAGTTGGGAATGGTACGTTGCCAAATTTCTCATGCACTAATGTGACTGCACAGTCACCAAGTAAGCAAGGCTCTTGGTTTAGAAGTGCATGTATACCATGGAGCTGTTCAATAATTTCTATAATGGTAAAAAAAAGAATTTTCCTGAGTTTTAAACGTTTTAGTTATCTTTTTTTTCCAATATTTAATCCCTTGACAGTTTCTCTGAAGCATTGCTTACATCTCTTGGAATTGACATTATTGAAAACCAAAAAAATATTATTTCGCACATGTATCTTTTCATGATAAGAAGCCGACTACATAGCTTCTAACGGATTTGAATAAATAGTAAATAGGCCCTACCAAGTATATTCATGCCACGAGTATTGCTGATTGCTTTCTTCATAATAATAACTTCATGATGATCAGAAGAGTTTTTAGCGATTCGAGGTCTTTGTGCCACATATGTTGTTTGGACACGCTCGAATGTCGCTTGAATTATATTTTCCGGAAACATATTTCTAAAGAAAATGTGTTGAAGTGAATCAAATCTCATACGTGTTGTAATTACCTTACTAAATCCAAAAAAGTGTCAAGAGGGGAGACATCGGTATCCACAGGCACATCGGGTAAACTTCCAGCCTTTATTGATGGATCACCAGGATGGATGGTCATCACAAGGAAAATGCCAAGCTGAATGTATCAATTTTTTGAAATTCGCAGTCAGTGAAATGTTAGACATACGAATAATTGTTTGATTTTCTATAAAATTTGCGGTTTTTAGAGCATTATATAAAAATGCAGTGGAGATAACTGCAATCATCGCAGTTTGAGGACATAGAATCCAGCCAGAGCAACTAAGTGTAGCGTTAACAATTTCAAAGGTCGGAATTTTCAGCTTCAATTTGAAAATGGATTTATTGTTTCGTTTATTGCACTATATT